TCACTATTATAATATTTGTTAAGTTAAAAGATATCAATAACAGTTTACCAAACAGAAATACGTTTCATAATCTATATATCTAGTCATAATGAAAGTGATAACCATTTGTTCGCAACATTTTTCTCATAATCAATGAAGACTTCATACTAGCAGTATAAATGGTAGCATGACTTATTAAGTTGTCGTGTCAAAAACCGACTGTCACATCATGGTATTCATATCATAAAGACATTGTTTCCTGATTATCTGCATTACACATAGAACTTTCAAGACAAACTGGATTTGGGATTAAAAAATGAAAGTTTAAATATACATTGTGACTGAGATGAAATTTATGTATAGTTTAAAATTCTATTAAGCATATTAAACACTTCATATAATATGAAGATATCAAGATAACACAAAAATAACGCTTAAATAAAGACCATGTTTATTCAAAGTTACGCTAATTTTGAATTCTTTAGTAAATTCATAAGAACTTTTCTTATATTTATTTAATTATAATCCGTTTTAAACATAATCCTGATTAGAAAAGTTATTCTATAACTCGATTGAAAAGCATAATAATCCTTTGTGAACTAATATTCTCTGTTCTAGTTTATCTACCCTTATTCTTATACCTTAGACTAAATACCTGAGGACTACTAATAGATTTCATGGTACTTCATGTCCTATTTTTGGCATGTTTAGTATGTATCCAAATGGCTGAGTATGTTGACGCCGTAACTCATAATGCATTATCCACTGAACTTAATAACAGAGTTAAAAAAATAATGATGCCCATCTCTTGTACAGTGGGTACCAACTGTTATTATTTACCGGAATACACTCCCTGTCTTCCCTTAAACTAAGAGATTAAAATCACTTCATATCTTTCTTTCTACTAACTACTTCTTTCTTCCTGTACTGTATCCTTATATGCAATCTTTCTCTTATATATTACCACCTTTGACCTAACCACTCCTATGAATCCGGTGTTCATCTTGCTGTGCTAATGAGGTTTGGCGACCTGGACCGATGCATATATGTGCCTGGTCCTACGTTGTAGCTGACTGACTGACTGATTTACCGGAATCGAAAACCTGTTATTTTCTCACAATATCTTTCTTTAGCTTTCATACCTCAAACACCAAATGATGTATTTTTTTTACATGATCCTTCTTATTGATCTTTCTTGTGATGTTTATCGTTTTATGAATAGAACAAATTGATGAAGAGGTAGACTGGATAGATGGTTCACTTGATAAACTGACTGAAGATGAGAAGAAGATGAAAATGTTGGATTATTTTGAAGAATCGGGTTTAAGTAAGTTCCTGGGTTAATCTTTTAAAAAATGCACTACTGGTAGTTTAAATGTTGTATGATGTGTGCACTGTAAGCAGTGTTTAAATAATAAGACACATCATTGAATTAAGATGAACTCAAACAGTTTCTATACCTTTATCACAAAGTGTCAAGTCCTTATTCTTAGGTCTTTGCAGCCCTGATTACTAGATAATTTTCTCACTATGAATGTGCTCTGATATTCTGTCTTAATAATAACGATATAATAACTTTCTGTCCTTTCAATAACCCCTCTTTTATGTTTTAAATTATCAATTTGTATTTATATAACCTTCCTTAGTATTATAGAGATGCCTTGGTAAGTATATGTGGTCAGATTTTTCAAAACATTTTCCACATATACACCACACTTCCTGAATGCTTTCTAAATGTATATGTAATTCAACTATTTGCGAGATTATGATTTTGTACTATGAAATGATGTATTTAAAGGTTGATTCCCTGTTAAATATAGTGATTTTGGCTTCTCGATATTTGGATTTGTTACATTCATTAAAGCATATATAAATCGTAACGATGAAGAATGTACAGCTATAATTGGTTCCTTATCTTAAGGATTACTAATTAAATTAAAAGATTTGTTCAACAATTCAGTGTCATATACTTGATCTCTCCTACAATTGTTGCTTTAACTGTTAGTGCGTGCCTTGTTTGAGTTGATCATTTTTAGATTGTAATGCATTAGATAATCATCAGTTACGGTTGGAGTCTAGCATCACTAAAAATTGATCTCAGTTGATGGAGTACATTTGTATTTTATCTTCATCATATTATTCCCTGAATTTTTGTGTTGTTCTCATGTTTTTTCTCTGCAGGCTCATTTCTCCATTGTTGTTATTATTTTTCCCATTTTTGATTTCATTCTTTCTAACTCTCTTGATCCCTGTTCCTCCTGGAAAATCTTCCTACTGCATCAGAAACAAATTCGAAATAGTTCCTCGATTATTTATATCTATTAGTTGGAATAATATTTTCTTTCCTGTTGATCCAGCCCAAAATCATTTTTTATGGAATATCAGTAATGAAACAGGAGCTAATAGTTTCGAACTGATTAGTCAAAATCTACCGTACTCATCACAAAACCTGATGGTTCTGAGTTTCATTCCGTAAGGAGTTGTATTACACACCATTGAATTATTCAACCTAGGACCAAATATCTATCCAGTTTCACCGATTTTCACTTGTTTAATATCGTTCTCATCATCATCTTCAATCAAAGGTTATGTTAAGAATTCTTTATCATACGAAACATATTATATTGAGTAAAGTCATTAATAATAATAATAATAATAATAATAATAATAATAATAATAATAATAATAATACATTTAATTCTTGGTTGTGCTTTTATCCACAGATGAATAGATCTTCAAATGTTTGTATATGTTTATTTAAATACTATCCTCTCTTAAAAGTATTTCAATAAAGATATTCAACTGTTGTTGTTTTTTTTCTTTTTAAATTGTTTACAGCTGAAATGATGAAGAAGGCCATGTTTGATGTTGTGGATAAAAGACCAATTGATCCAATATCATATATTGCTAAAAGTCTTTTAAAACAGCATCATTCACAAAACAATTAATTAATAGCTACAATATAATCAGAAAAATAATCTAGTTTTCTTTTATTTTTTTAATTTTCTGAATTTATTTTTTATATAGTCTCAATGTTTTTCATGTTCATCATACAAATTATATTGACTTTTTAACATAGTATTATATTATCTTATTATCATATGAATATATTTTACTCAAATAATGTATTACTTAATGGATATTTACACAAATTATTTACGGATTATTTATAAAGTTTATATAAAATATGCATTGTTACTTGATTGTTTCATTTTACTAGCCTCTGAGTTTATGGTAAATACATCAATATTTATAGGTGAACACGGGATCTTCACTGGTGTAGGACTGAATTTTTAATAAATTAAGTCACTAAAGTTTTCATGTCTATATACTTAAAGAATTGAAAGGAGATCAGTTTATGAATCATTACAGTTTTGTGTATGCTAGGGATAAGTTATTGCTTTGATGCTTGCTATCAAACTAGTTTATAACAAAGTAAGTTTGTTACCGGTCAAATCAACGTTGTTAAAATTCTAGTCTAGTATTTTTAAGATAAGGATGAATTTATCGACATCACCTTCTGATAAGGTTAAATTATCAGACGGATGTTTTCTTAATACATATCTTGATGATCGTATTCCGTTAAAAATTCTTTGTCTTTCAAAACTATCACGTATCATTTTCAACAATTCATACAGAATCACTGATTTTCTAAATAATCTTTCTTTAGTGCTAGATTGTATAAAGGATACTTCTGACTCCGACTTTAATTAATCCTGATTAAATTCGTATATTTTCTAAAACTAAATCCTGATTTATAAATGGGTTTATTTGTAGCGTAGGATATACAAATACCAAACATGAGGTTATATTTTGACTGACTTATTTCAAGCAAACTAGCTTGCCATACCAAGCGTATATCAGAAAACCCAGTAAAAGGGAGAGATTGAATCATGACTTTTTGGTTAAATAGATTTACAACCAATTAAAAAATTACAAAATCAACAACATATGTATACGTATTCAAACGCGGATGGGAATACATATTGCTGATTAACTATCCAAGTTAATGTCAAGTAATTTGCGTGATAACAATGACACATTTATTTGATACAATGTCCTTAAGTTCTAATGAGTATGTAGACCAAGAACTGTTTTGCTAAGAGACCGACATCATATTACTTTATCTAATTTCATCATAAATGTATTCGTCATACTTTGCTTCGTATATGTCTTTGAAAAGGAATATTTGAATGAAATATTGACAATTTTGAATTTAGACCAAGATCGTTTATAGATATAGGTTTCAACTAACTACTTACATCCCTACAGTTACATAGATCAAGTTTATCCTCTACTATAGTTGCAATATACAGTTTGAAGGAAGTGAACCTAGTTTGCCTGGAACACTTATCCGTTGCTTAGAATCATAAGCTACATACTTACACCTGTTACTCCTCGTGGACGAGAGGAGGCCGCCTACCATAATTCTTGTGGAGTTTGTATGAACTAATGACTCCTTTGTACTTGTTGAATGCTTGATATCGGATTCCAAATACAGTACATTTGTTCGTGTTTATCTTGTACTTCCTGATCCAATTGCGTTATTTCTGGGATTCTTAGTTCGTACTACAATTCAAATACTCCTAATTATCAGAGTTTATCATGAATGATTGACAGTTTTTTCCTGTCTTCTAGTTACTGTTCTGTATGTTATTTATGTCTTCTTTTTCCCTGTTTAGCAGACTATATTAATTGTTTGTTTTGTATCTTAACTGTGTTAATTTACGTTTTGGAAATAGACAAAGTTTATCAAGCTGTGGATTGGATTTATCATCCCGAAAAATCCTTAGCACGTTCCTCAGCAGCTATGGTTCAGCGATGGAGTATTGCTTTGAGTGCATATGACTATACGGTTCAGCACAAAAGTGCCAAACAGATTCAACATGTTGATTACATTTCTCGACAGTCATTACAAGATAAACCTATTAATACTTCGGATTGTTTGTTAGTGCAACCTTTACCAGTGAGACGTTCAGATCTCATTAGAGAAACTCGTAGATATTTTGGATGTATACTCAGTGCTATAAGGAAAGGTTGGAATGCTAATTTGAAACGGAGATTTCCTATCTATTTTTCAAAGCGGGATGAGTTATCTACTACTCCTGATGGTATTCTGTGTTTAAACGATCGTGTTGTCATTCCTCCTTCATTGCGTAAATCTGTTCTTGAAGATCTTCATAGTGGTCATTTAGGTGTTGAGAAAATGAAGTCCTTGGCAAGGCTCACATGCTGGTGGCCAGAGATAAATGCAGATATATGTCGTACGGCAAACAATTGTGAGAAATGTCATCAGTTGAAAAATCATCCTTCGAAGTGGGTGCCATGGCCAGTATCGTCTGAGGCCTGGCAGAGGATTCATGCTGACTATTGTGGACCATTTCTTGGTAAATACTACGCACTAGTAGTCATTGATTCTTTTTCAAAGTGGCCTGAATTTTTTTTCACAACTTCACCAAATTCTGATTTCACAATACAAGCATTAAGAAAGGTGTTTAGTCGAGAAGGTGTTCCCTTGGTGTTGGTGACTGATAATGGCTCACATTTTGCTGCAGATGCAGTCACTACCTGGTTGAACGGTATAGGGTGCAAACATCTATTTACTGCTCCCAGACATCCGTGTTCTAATGGTCAGGCAGAGAATTTTGTTAGGACATTAAAGACTGCTATTGATTCTATAGCCCCCTCAACATTTAATGAGCTGGAGAGGGGAGTAGATACCTTTCTATTGCAATATAGAAATGCCAAACATTCGGTGACGAAGGAGACTCCAGCGAAGCTATTGAAAGGAAGAATTCTTCGGTCGAATATGAGATGTCTGGAGTCTGCAGAGGTTACATACTATCGAGGAAATGATCTTCGACCATCTACGGGTATTGTTCTGAAGAATGTCGGAAAATCGATGGTGCGAATTCTAGACATCGATGACTTAAGTACACACAGTCGACATGTAGATCAAATACAATTTCAGGAACCAGGTGAGTCAGTTCCAATTTCGATTGTTAATTCTAATGCTAATGAGCATATTCTAGATAATACAGAATCCTTATCCAATACAATGTCAGACAGACTCAGGATGAATTTGAGAAGAAGACGTACGATTGATTACAAACACCTAGACTCCAATTTAAGCTGTGGCGGATGTGGTGTTTGAATGAACCAATGATACCTTTGTACTTGTTGAATACTGGATTTCGAATTCTAAATACAGTACATTCGTTGTGCCTGTGTCTTCTTAATTCAATTGCGTTAATCCTGGAATTCCTAATTCATACGATAATTAGAATACTATACAAGCCAAATAGCTTACTTGTTCTGACGTTAGCTAAGTTAAGACTCTATGCTTTACAGTCTAGAGAATAGTTTAGAATTGAATCTGTAGGAAATTACTTCTTACAAGTTAATACGTCTTCCAATCTAGGGTTCGCTTGCCGGGCCCTTGGGACTGAGTGAGCCATCATACGCGATGTTTCCAAATTTCGATTTGACCCTGGAGTACTGGGTACCCGATTGAGTAAAGATATGAACAGAAATCTTACACACATGTTTGACAAGGCTCACTTTTGGACGGATTCTGAGGTAGTTCTGTACTATATGAGGAATACAGAGCCGGTATTCCACCTTTGTGGCTATTCGTCTGGCAGTTATTCGTATGATAACTTCTGTGGGCCAGTAGGGGTACCATGGAATCAATGAAAATCCTAATGACTGGACATCACGAACTATACAAAACTGATTAGACTTAATAACCTGAATTGAAGCTCTTTCATTCTTAAGGAATGGGGAGTTTGTAAAACTGCCGAAGCCTATTTAGGAAAAGCCCACGGAGAATATTGAGTTTAAAAGAGCTCGCATAATCAGCACAAGCATAGCAAAACATTATTTCAATCCAATTACATTTTACCACTTGAATTAGATAAAGCTGAACAAACCAGTTGCATGGCTCAGGAGATATGTGGCCTTTATAACCATCAGGTTCTACCATCACAAAGACAAGACCTTAAGTGTAAGCTGGCTGACATTTGATGAGTTAGATGTGGCTTACTAGTCTGAGTGCTGAAGGAGTATGGGGAGGCCAAGAAAGATTTGTCTTATGGAAGCTGCCGATTGTATGCTAGCTTTGCAGGCGTACAGGCGTACTGTTGTAAGTCCTGTGCTGCTAATGACATAAAGGCATTAGCTAAGAGAGTCATAACCGAATGTATTTGGAGATTCCTTCACATAGCTGGAGGGATTTTAGTGGCATTTCATTGACTCATGTCTACAACCTTGGACTGCATTCACTTCCTACCAAGAAATCGTATTGCATGCAACTCTAGACTATTATGCTAAATAGGAGTCCGCCCCTGGTTCTACAAAGGTCTTCACAATGAAAAAAAGTTATAATAATTTTGACAAAAAGCCGGTTCGTATTCGAACACTGTATTTTCCTTACTAAACTTTAAAAATCCACATATTACCCAAACTTTCAGTCCTCCTACACTAAATCCATTTGAACAATCCTTTATTCATTCAACGCCATACTGTGGCTTGATCACTTTACAATGATGAAATATACTCGTTTAGAAACCGATCTAATAGACGAGAGTAAATCTAAGTGGTCATGCCTTAACTGTTCCACCACAAATGACTAAAGTTCACTAGTCATGAATACTGCCTCCCTCTTTTTCGGAATCTTCGTAATACACCACCGAAAACACCTGTAGAGCATATGACTTTGCCTTGCACCATCGTTTATACCTCCGGAATTTATCTTGAATCGCCATCGAATAAACTTTGGTGTCCAAACTGAAGTTTGGTTCTATTGTTCATTTGGTTTCGTAAGGTGCTCTAGATCGACATAAAATGCTTCAATAACGGAAGAGAGCAAAAACTTGGACGTAACATAAAGGAATTAAGGTATGACACTTTTGACAGGGAACTTCTGGTCATCTGTTGTGCTGTGCAGCACTTTCAACACTCTGTGGAAGACCGAATAATTCACTCAGTCTACCTATCATAAACCTCTCAACATTTCTCTAAGCTCGTCTTCAAACAAGTACTCAGCCCGAGAGTTTTGATAAGTGAACTTAAGTTCGTAATTTACTTCAGATATACAACAAATTTCAGTGGTTTTGTCTCAAGTAGCTTTTTTGAACAGTTTCGCAGAAATCAATAATCTTAAAATCGCCCTGTTTCAAAAAGAAAACACCGAGTTTCAGTACGAGTTATGTTTCACAGTTCTAAAACTGTACATCAGGCAGATGGGGACGGGCTAGGAAACTTCAACATGTGACACATGGACAAGTAGGGATCGCTCAATCGTGCCGAAACATTATCGACGCAACGTCTTCAATACGTTGCACAGGCCTGACCCAGGTGTTCGAGCGACCATAAGGCTCGTCGTAGAATGATTTTGCTGATCCAGAATGAATAAAGATTTGAGGGCACGTTCTTTTGTAGGCTGCCAGAAATCTAAGGTGATTGGACACATAGAATGCCCCTTACGCTCGTCTAAACCTCCCGACGCTTGTTTTGACCATGTTCATCTGGATTTAGTAGGACTCTTTCCAGATTCAAATAGATACTCTTACTTCTTAACGTGTGTAGACCGTTTCATACGACGACCAGTAGCAGTACTCATGAAGGACACTACTGATAAACTAATGGCTCGCATCTCCGTTGAACAATGTGTAGTAAACTTTGGCTACTCTTCAACTACCACCACAGACTATTGAGGACCTCTTAGATCTAAAATTTCCTATTATCTTACTAAACTGCGAGCAATCACATGGTTCCGATCAACCACCTATCACACACAAGCAACTGGCTGGTAGAACGATTTCACCAACAGTTGAAAGCTTCCATCTCAGCTTCAAAGGTTTCAAAGTGGATTGATGCTCTCAGTGTTCACAACGCAATGAAGGCCGTTACATGACTCACCGCAATACAGCGCGTATAGTAAACGACACCTTGGCTTCCTGGAGACTTCGTGGATCTTCCGTCTTCTTTGATGAATGTGGATCTACATGAACAGGCTTACAAGCGTTGTGTGTTCAGTTAAGCCTGTTTCAACTCGATCTTATTTAACTGATATTTTCGTTTAACTTGAATCAAGGTACAGTACACATGTCTTTGCCTACGACTGACTTTTCAAAGTCCTTCATCGTACATCTAAGTACTATATCATCAATAAGAACGAAAATCACGATAAAATCAACATTGATATTGGCATTATTGTGCCATAAAACCAGAAACAAACATTGTTTTCATAACTTTTTCATTTTTATATGTATGTTATTTATTTTTTTCAAGAAGGTAACCTCGGATAATTAATTATGCGAAAACTTTTCTTACACTGTCACATGTGAAAAAAACGCATGCATGCGAAATTTTTTCATTCTTTGCCCATTTTGTACTTACGCATGTACGAGTGTATTTCGGCATGCGACTACGATTTCTTTTTTTCATTTTCAGTACGAGTGGAAAAGATGAGAAAACCGACGAAGTTACAGAGAAGAGAGATTTTCATTGCTCATTTTTTGATTGCTATATCGTAAAGCATAGGCTCTTCTATTAGGGAAAATCGACCAGATTCTGTTGAACGTAGCAGACTATCAGAAGAGTGTTTACTAACGACAAACCCTTTGGGTTTACACTTCTGGCTGGCCGGGTCTTAGAGACATCACTACAGTAAATAAACCCCAGTAATAAATAGTTCCATAAGTTTTCGACATTTATGCTGACTTCATTAGTTTTACTGGGGGCACCTAAATGAAGGCGCTCAGTCATTCATCAGCACCAGATCACGAGTGGGTACGATGTGCCACCCAACCCTCTAAAATGCTGGCCAGCTTAGACCAAATACTTTTCGACTTACCGATAGCACTCCAAATATAACTTCCTGGCATGTGATTTGACTGAGTTGGTACGTCTCGATTATAGAAAGTGTTACTGGTCAAGGCGTTGTTAAGATCTAAATAATCGTGTCATCTTTGAATTTTTTTACTCCATACACACTTACACGTTTAGCTATCCTATACATACATCACATTATATTATCTCTATGCTATTTGGGTTTGACTGTCTAATATAATATGATATATATCTGAAAGAGCACATACAAACCATTTTTAAAGGCTCGGTCAGTAACTCATAATATCAGTTTGTATATACAGTGCGCGTACGGACTGGACGTTACTTTCAGGCCGAGGTTTTTAGTTTTATTTTTCTAGGATTCTCGCAGAGCTGGATGAATTATTTTTTCTTGGAATTATAGAAGTTAACTCTATTCTTAACTGTTAACATATAAACTGTGAATTTCATGCCATATGATAAGTTCTGAGTTTAACTTACGGTATTTATGACCATATTCATACAATAATTCATAATAATCTTATTACATATATTCATTTTGACTATACGATCAAACTATACTCTGTCACTTTGAAACCATATATAATCATATTTGACGAAGATTTGTATTTCATATCTGTATTCTATTCCTTAAGGAATATATGGTTATATCGTATTTGAATACTTTAACCCACGTACTTTATGTATCTACAGGATCTATTCAAACCTCTACCTAATATCAAGAAATATATATAACCGTGTATGTTAAAGGACTGTATTCACTATTTTACGAACTATCATTTAAATCGTATTTGGATACTATAAATCATTTAATTTTCGAAGCTACCTGTCCAATTCGAAAATGAAGACCCCTGCTTCTAGGCGTCCAGCCAAACGTAGGAAAACGACACAATTTAACACCACTACTGACACGATTTCCAACAGTTTTAACGAGACGAGCCACTCCGTTCATCTGGAAGCAGACAAGCTTTTACCAGTTGTCTCCATTCCAGACATGTTGAAAACTCTGATGGTAAACAGTGATGATAATCGCAACTGCAACCATATGGATGCTATAAAAACGTTGCAAGTAGACATGAACATTCTCAACCCGCTTAAATATCTCATCGACCCCAACCTCACAGAGACTCCAGATCAAATGAATGACATAAATATTTTCCTAGATCGTGTTGCATCAGAGGTATTTGAAAGAATAAGACGATCTAGTAATGCAATTGTGTTTAATATACCGGATACACATGCCCTTAAAAATATCAAATCTAGTCTGCTTAGAGCCAGCAATATGACACACGTACCATGTGTATGGACAAGATTAAATAGAAGTCATCCTG